CTAAAAAGACGTTCCCCGGGAGGGGGGGGGGGGGGGTGCGGCCCGGGCCTTTGCTTATTTATCTGTTTTTAGCCCGCACCCAAAAAAGTTTGGACATCCCTGATCTAGAACTTTCTTTTCTCTCTGAAAAACAAATGCACTGATTTTAAAACATTCATTCAGCTTCAAAGCTGGTGAAGAAGTTTGAGTTTGACTCACACAATTTGACAAAAGATTACAGCCAACAGATCATTCCTGTTAAATAAATCCAGGATTGAGAATTTGTAGAAAAATAACATGAACTTGTCAAAGAAATACATTTAAATTATCTTTTTAAAGACTAGAGATTGTGGAACTTCAAATGTCTGTTGCGCCAAAGTTTAAAAAAAAAAATAAAAATTTCAAAAGTGAAGTTAAATGAAAATCAAAATTTGTGTTGAACTTTAAACCTGGTGTTCCAGGTCTGGATCTGCTGGAGGGTCAGTCTCGACCAATCACCTGGGAGGAGCTGCAGATCGTGGACAACGACAATATCGATGCCGTTTACCTGGTGGCTGTGGACGGTCCTCTACATGGACGCCTGAGTGTCAGAGGTGGGGGACGTCAGTGTTCATGGTAGACAGATGTTGTCGTCAGCCCCTCACCCATTCACACATTTCCTTCAGAGCTTCACTGAAGTTCATTAAATTCTCAAAATAAAATTGAACAGAGAAAATAAAATGACATATTTAGCAGACGCTTCTATCCAAAGCGACTTACAGAAGTATGTGTTTCCTTTGGGAATTGAACCCAGGACTCTCTGCTCTCTGCTTCTCTGGTGACGTTCTGAACTTTCTACTTTAGACCCTCTTTGGCCGCACCATGGTTTTTGAACATGCTGGTATTCCTGATCTTTCTAAATCCCCAGAGACAGCGCTGTCTGACCTTTTCCGCTTCTGTTGCTCCATGTGTCACCCCCCCCATCAGGGACTGTGGTGGAGCCGGAGAGGAAAACGTTCAGTGACCCTGCATGTGTTTCCTAATCAGGTGTAAAATAAGGGCCCGGCCACTCGGTCTGCCAGAGGCCACAGCAGCAGCAGCAGCAGCAGTATTTCAGCTGTCCTCTCTGTCCATGTCTGTCCCTTCCAGCCCAGTGCTTATGGAGACGCCGTCTTTGTCCTCAGCAGGCAGAGAGGGGGCAGCAGATTGGAGAGACTTATTCTATTTCATGCCGCCGTGCACAGACAGCAGATGTACTGTCCCCAAACAGGGCTTCATGCTACCAGCTAAGACGGAGCAGTGAAGAAAGTGCAGGGGGAGAACAGAGAGGGGAGGGGTGATGCCAGAGTGCAAAGGTCCCTCAGGGGTTCAAGCAGGGACTTAACCTTTCATGGCTGTTTAAAAGTAAAGGAGCAGGATGGAAGGATCTGGAAGGATTTCACCTGTTCTGTCAGCACATCAGGAACAAAATTAACATTTTAAAATGTTAATTTATATAACTTGAAAAAAAAAGTCTTCCTCCACCCTCCTCCACCTTCTCCCAGTCACCGCTCACAGCCGTGTGGTGTCCTGTTTTCCTGCAGCTTTTGTTGTTGGAAAGAAGTCTGGCACAGCTTTTCTCACAAGTTCAGTGATGTTTCTGTTGGAGCAGTTGGTGAATCCTCCACTGAGGCCGAGGCTGGTGGAGGGGGTGGAGTGTGCTGCTGACCCTCCATGCTGCCACTTATAGACCAGAGGGACAATCACTGTAGGCTCCATCCAATGCCTTCAGCCAAATGGACGGCTGCCTGACGTGACACACACAGACTCTCTCCCTCTCTCTCTCCCTCTCTCTCTGTAACACATCGTCCCAGCCCACGTTTCCTTCGTGGGCCTGTTGCCCAACACCACCTTTGGGCCCAATTACCAAGTTGTTTCCATCACTTGGACCAGTAGCTGGTTCCCTTTGGTAAAGTTCCTAATGAGGTTCAGACTTGCGACCACTTCTCTCTCAATCTGTCTGCTGACCTTGCCCTTCTGTCTCTCTGGCGCACACAGGGAGACAGGAAGCCCCCGTCCTGGCAACAGGAAGACCACCGGGAAGGAGGCCATGTTTTACCTCACTGGTGTTCACAGCACGAACTGCAGCCAAAACCTCCCAGTGCCTGTAGGCGCTAAGAGAAACTTGTTAATTCCGAGCGACTACGACAGGAAATACATTGTGAATGTGTGGGAGACGGTAATTGATTCTAAGTGTTAGCTTTGGCTGAGAACTAGTGTCGTACGCTGACAACAACACATGTCCGTCAGTGGGCTGCCAGTCATGTGACGCGCTGCCGTTAACATTAGCACATTGTAAAGTGTGAAGAAAGTGAGCCAGCAGCAGAACGCTGACAGATGGACACGATCCGCATTCTATTTGAATGTGGGACACACTAGTCCTCAACGTCTGATACAACATTTTGTGTCGACAATCATCATGAAAGCTTTCCTCACAGTTGACGTTATTCCTAGAAATTAGCTTTCCTCACAGTTGACGTTATTCCTGCACCAACATTATTCATGAAAACGTCGTTTAGACATTTGAAATCTTGTAAATAAAAGTTGACCAAATCCAGGCTAACGCGGTGGATGAAGTTGTTACTGCGCCTGACTTACACCAGTGGTTCCACCATCCGACCCTCTGTGTGGTTCCAGGTGGAAAAGCTTTTATGTTCCGAGTGCGGGACCTGAAGGAAGGCGTGGTCGTCTACCACCACTCTGACAGTGACACCACCCGTGATCACGTCGTGTTCCGTATAAGTGACGGCCGTCACAGCATCCGCCACAAGTTCCCAATCAACATCCTGCCCAAGGACGACTCCCCACCTTTTCTCATCAACAATGTGGCGGTGGAAGTGCAGGAGGGTGGAGCAGTGAGGCTGGAGGAGTACATGCTGATGGCTTCTGACCTGGACTCCAGTGATGATTACATCCTGTACCAACTGGTCAACCCCCCCAGGACCGGGCAGCTGGTCAGAAAGACCCCCGGGCAGCAGACAGGTGAGGGTGAGGTGATGATTAATCTACAGATAAAAGACCAGAGAGTCCATTAAAAATGTCCTCCTTCACTGGTCTGTGTGGCTGGTTTTTATAATCCAGGTTTCTCGGTGGACAGTTTCCTTCAGAAGGACCTGCTCCAGGGTCAGATCTCCTACCAACACTCAGGGGAAGAGCAGTTTGAAGACTCCTTTGACATCACGTTGTCTGACAGCCACCAGCCGCCAAACCTCTCACAGACATATGCAAGTTTAAAAACATCGATCTGTACAAAAAATATCACTCTATGCTGATGATATAATTCTTCTTGTCTCAGACTTTTTTTTACTTGTCTTCTTGAGTATCTGTGTTTGTTCAGTAATTCCCATGTATTTCCCTGTATTTCCAGACGGTGGTGGTCCATGTTTTCCCAGTGAAAGACCAGCTGCCAGTGGAGGTGGCGGGCAGCGTTCGCTCTCTGACAGTGAGAGAGACGGACGTGGTCTACATCACGCAGACTCACCTTCACTTCACAGACAGGGAACAGCCCGACTCGGACCTGACTTACGTCATTACGCAGCCCTGTTTTAGCCCACAGAACCCTGGGTAAAAAAAACAGTCCTTTTAGACTTGATAATTCAATATAAAGTGACTGAAAAACAAAAGATTCCAGGAGAATTTAAGGCCCAGTTTGTCTTATTTGGCCTTTTTGTCCTATTTTGACCCTGACGAAGCACCGACGTGTCTAATTCTGGACCAGACTGGAGCTTCTGTAGTCAAATGTCAAAAACATAAACTGTCCCTTAAATAAAGAATGAAATAATGAGTGAAATGTCATTCATTGATTGTGTGTGTTGTTCTCCTCCAGACTGATGGACGCAGGACGTCTGTTCTACACTGATGTCACAAACGCCATGAAGAGAGACCACATGGTGCCAGTGCTGAAGTCCTTCACACAAGTTAGTGAAACACACACTCAGACTGGTTCTGACAACACACTCGGAGCATGCAGAGTTGTTGATGCTGAAATAGTCCGACCTCTGTTTCCCAGCATGCCGTGAACCATATGAAGGTAGCCTTTATGCCTCCAGTGGAGGACATCGGTCCAGAGCCACTCTTTGTCCAGTTTGTCTTCTCTGTGAGCGACCACCAAGGTGGCGCCCTCTCAGGTCTCCTCTTCAACATCACCATCCTCCCTGTGGACGACCAGGCCCCAGAGGTCAGAGTTCACACAGAGGCTTTAGCCGCTAGCAGTTGTTGAAAGTACAGTGATAAATAAATATGAGTAAATCCTTCAGATACTGCAGTAAAATGTTTTTTTGTGGTTGACACTGTTTATCCTCAGGCCTTCACCAACCTGCTGCGGGTGGAGGAGGGTGGAGGCACCTTTGTGACAGAGGAGCATCTCCTGGTGCACGATCGAGACAGCAGAGAGCAGACCCTGAGGATGGAAGTCCAGAAGACACCTCATCACGGCCGTCTGGAGCTGCAGGGACGGACGCTTCAGCCAAGAGACGTCTTCAGTCTGCAGGACCTCCGAGGACTTCGACTCAGGTCAGGACTCTGTGTTCATGGGGGAGTTCTGCTGTTTTTCCTCATTTGTTTTATGGACTGAAAACTTTGGTTCCTGCTGCCACAGGTACATTCACGATGACTCTGAGACCACTGAGGACGAGGTCGCCCTGAGGGTCACAGACGGTCTGAACTCAGCCCACGTGGTCCTGCCCATACAGGTGAGATCTATTCTCTGTGGGACTAGGAAATATAATATATATTAGCATATATTAGCTCAGTGGACAGGCGGGTCATGGCTCTCTGTTGAATGCCATATATTGGCATGTATTTTTTGGCACATATATTGGCATGTATATATATCCGCCCCTCCCCCCCACTGGGGCTCTTAGATCCTGCCCATGAATGACGAGCCTCCACAGTTAGGCAGAGGTCTACGGGGGGAGCTGAGCTGCGAAGAAGGGGGTCGGGTCCAGGTGACAGTGGACTATCTGTCGGCTACAGACCGTGACAGCGACGACTTCAGACTGACCTACATGTTGGCCCGGAGCCCCGGTCGAGGGGAGCTGCAGAGAGCTGGTCTGAGTGTGGACAGGTTCTCCCAGCAGGACCTGCTGCAGGGATTCATTTACTACGTCCACACAGGTGAGGACCTGGTCCTTACACAAAGGCTTTGGGACCTACATGTTGGACACCAGTCATTTATTTGGTCTTACTGGATCATACCAGAACACAGAGCTTTAAGAAATGACAAAAAACCTTTTTGGACCCGTGGACATGGTCAGAGACTGAACTTATTTTTCAGGAGGAGAGATCGGAGCAGAACCAGTGTTTGACACAGTCACTCTCATCATCTCTGACGGCGAGGCTGGTGGGACTGAGGGTTGTTGCCATGGAGACGCCCTGCCTCCTCCCGTGCCCCTCCATGGCACACTTCCTGTGTACGACCTCAACATCACCGTCCTGCCCGTCAACAACAAAGTTCCTTCCATCACACTGGGTGAGACACGTCTGTCCTGTGGTTCTGTTCACTCTCCAACTGTTGTCTCTGAGGTTTGAGTCGTAAAATTAAATTTCACTTCATTTTTGTGGCTTCAGAGATGTTTTCACCGTCACCTTCAGCTGCTGCAGCAGGAACAGAGCCACATTTTATAGAAAACATCTCAATAAGTCCAGCGTGTGTGTGTGTGTGAGTGTGTGTTTTGACGTCGGTGCCAACACCTCCTGGTCTTCTGCCGAAAATCCTCTTAATGCAGCGGAGCAGCTCTGACCCTGACGCCTCGCTGTCACCTATCAGTATAACACACACTCTACACTGGGAGGAGGGATGGGGGGGTTGACATACACAACAACAACAACACACACATGGACTTGGACTCAAACACACACAATGACACACAGTGTCTCCTGGGGACGGGGATAGTTCTCGCTCCAGTCGGGGCCAAGAAGAGGGATTGGAGGAGCTCTGTGGTTATCAATGAGGACCAGTGACCACTGGGACTAACTGGGATCTGGAACCGACTGAGAGGCGCTGGTGTGTGTGTGTGTGTGTGTGTGCCTTCCTGGCACAGATATATGGTGGGGACATTTACAGGTCTATTGAGCTTCAACATTTAGTTTGGAGATGGGATTAGAATTAGAGTTAGGGTAAAAAATTGGGATTAGGTTTATATTTATAACAGCAAAGGTCAGCACAAGGGGGCAGGTTTTTCAACATTTTGCAGCGCCCTCTATAGTAGATAGCACTATTGTTCCAAATTGAATTGAGTTTTAATTCAAACTGCATCTGTTACTTTGTAAAATCCCTCCATCCAAACGTGGTCAACCCTGGTGTTCAGCATTCAGCCTGAACGCCCGTCTCTGCACCAGCGTTGTTGTTGTTGTTGTTGTTGTTGTTGTTGCTGACTGTTGTTGACTTGTTATCAGCTGTTATTGTAGATGTCCTGTATCTGCGTGTGCATGCGTCTCCGGAGGACGCCGGCGTTGGACAATAGGAATCTGTCTGAAACAAAAGCTCAACCTTTTCTTCACAATAGCCGGCGTGCTAGCTGCCTCGTTAGCCGGATTACTGCAGCGGGGAAACTCTCTCTAATCCTGTCCGCATATCTCTTCCTATTCTTTGAACACAGACACGACAGAAGAAGCAGGGGTTTTTGTTGTGATGGGGGGGGAGGGGGGTGTAGTAGGCAGCTAGAATGTATGTGCTGTTTTCTCTGTCTAATTAATTAGCATTGAATAAAGACGCAGAATTAGAGTCTTAGCGCGGCAGAACAGGAGGACTCCAGCTGGACCTCGTGCCGTACTTAGGATGAAATTTTGTTATCAGCCAGATCCAGGACTGTCCGTCTACGTCCCACATATATTAACACGACATATAAACATACGCGGTCCATTCACGTGGATTGTTTCTCATATGGATTCAGGTCCAGGGATGTTTGTGTTTGCTCATTACTGGATGAACGGACGGAGAAATAAAGACAGGACCAGATGGTTGCTGGTTGATAGGTGAACTGGTAACACAGGCACATCACTGGTTCATCTTTAAATAGATATTTCACAGTAGGTATAGTCCATTTGCCTTACAGCAAGAAGGGCTGTGGTTCGAGGCCCAGGTCTAACTGATGGTTGTGTGTGTGTGAATTTTCTCATGCTCAGTGTGAATGCAAGAGTAAATGATGGTTAGGATGAGTGACCCTAAAGCAGCGGTCCACAACCCTTTTTTGTACCACGTGTCGGTCGGCCGGTACTGTGAACCGAAGAACCACGCTGATCATTGAAGAATTCTTAAATTTTCAAAATTTAAGAAACACTTTTTTACTGTGTCCATAGGTCATTTGGATCGGTACCAAATGACTTATGGACCAGTACCAGCCTGCAGACCTCTGGGGAAGTTTTAACTTCCGTCCTCGTCCAGACTTTCTTGTCTTTAATGACTGGATCCACTTACACGTGTTCCAGGAGAGTCTCTGTTGGCGGTGGATGAAGGTTCCTCAGCCTGTCTGTGTAAAGGCGTCCTCGGTGCCGTGGACCCTGATAGCCCCCCCGACCAGCTGACACTCTACCTGGACGCTCCACCTCTTCACGGCTTCCTGGAGAACACACTGCCACCACCTGGCTCTGAGAAGAGCAACGCGGGTGTCCACATTGGTAAGTGTTGTGTTTGAGTCACCCCCTAGTGGCCAACTGTTTGTCTAGCTGTCTGAATTTTTCATCCTGGTCATTTTGTTGTTTGTAGAATCATTCAGCCTCATCCACCTGACGTCAGGTTTCATCAACTACGTCCAGTCAGAGCACAGAGGGGCCGAGCCCACTGTGGACCAGCTCTCCATCAGCGTGAGTGACGGCCTTCATCACTCCGCCCCCGTTCCCGTTTACATCATCATCAATCCAACCAACGATGAGAAACCATCTCTGCTGATCGCCAACTTTACCGTAGGTTCCAGGTCCAGTGGTGAAGATTGTGTCCTGTCCTGTTTCTCCTGACCGTGAGCAGAGAGAATACTGATCTGGTCTGATCTGGGCTGTGGTCCTTGTTGTGGTATTCCAGGTCAGAGAAGGAGGTACGAGGGAACTTACTCCATCGATACTGGACGCTGTGGACCTGGACGCTCCTCAGGACCTGCTCACGTTCACAGTGGTCCAAGCTCCAGTTCATGGTCAACTCATCACTGGTGCGGACACCAGCCGCTACCTGGACAAGAGCCGCCCCGTCACTTCCTTCACCTTACAGGAGCTACGTCAAGGTATGAGCGGGTCACAACCAAAGTTTTAGGCGCATACTACCACCTACTGTACTAGAGCGCGTAGTGTCATGGTCTGACCATTGACTTTTTGACATAATGCAGTCTACTCCTTATACCAGAGGAGTCAAATTCACGGTGGGCCAAAATTAAAAAACTGTGACCAAGTCTCGGCCAAGATCATTTATTGAAAAACTGTAAATGATCTGTAATGTGTAACTGTTTCACATGGAAACAAACTAGTTTTGTGTCAACACTGAATCTGGAACAACTGAAGGTTAATATTATAAACACATGAGAAATTCAGTTTGAAATAAAACACACATCAGTGGTATTTGTTTCTTATTATGTCTCTTTATCTGTAGCCTTTCCAGTTCTTTTTTAATGTAAAAAAGTGCTCTTTTTTTCAATCGATGAGAATTGTCATAGATTTGTTTCAGTTTTTAACTGATTCATCGTTGCCTCCCCAGTCAGTATTGCCCCCTCTCTAATACCCTCTGCCCAGCTGCTGGGAGTATTTAGAAAAAGGTAAAAAAAAACTGAAATGATCCCGAGAATAAACAACAGAAGAAGAAGTCGACAAACAGTTTACAAACGCCCTCCTCCTCCTCCTCTTCCTCCTCCGTGCATCTTCATCAACCTCCCTTCCTCTCCACCCTCCCCCCTCTCCAGGCATGAAGATCATGTACATGCACGATGACACAGAAACCCTGGAGGACGCCGTGGCTCTGCAGCTGACAGATGGCGTCCACACCGTGAGGGGGACGACCCGTGTCACCGTGCTGCCGGTCAACGATGAGAAACCACGACTGCTCAAGTACATACAACACACACTGAACTGCACCCAACATGTATTTACCAGTAGACACAGTATTTGCCAGTATACACAGTACACCCAATGATGTCATGTACTAGAATGTTCCACCAAGTATTTGGTTTTTATTTTTCCCTCAGTATTTATTCATATTCATTTTGACAGTAAAACTTTAACCGTCTCCAAACACACAACTGTATCGATGAGGGTGGGTTCAGCCTGGCAGGGGTTTGGATGGGGGTCAGAGGGGTCATCTGTGTCCTTTTACTGATTACAACAAAAGTTTGCGACAGTAAACACCCCCTCCCTCACTTCCTCCCCTTTCTTTTAGCAGTCTTTTAGCAGATGATTGACAATTAGCATCCTCCACTGAGTTGCATGTGGTTCCATCATCACTGTTCCCAGATCAGTGAGCGGTGTGTGTGTGTGTGTGTGTGGGTGGGTGGGTGCGCTGCACAGGTGGTGCAGGTACCGTGAAGGTGCGGTGAGGCAGCAGTAACACGGAGACCTGGCAGACGGAGGTCTCCTTGTTTTCACGTTCCTGTAGGAGAGACGTGACAGCAGCTCCAGCTCCGACCCGCCTGGATGTTACTTCCAAGTCAGGAAGCAGCCAGATGGTTTCTGATGTTTACTCCTTCCACTGCACCACCTCCTCCACCAGCACCACCAGCAGCAGCACGGGTCTCTGTGATCCCTCCAGGAAAGACCTGCTGCGACTGCGACAGTGAACTTGACCCACGTGGGTCGCTCATCTGTACTGGATCCCTTGGACGGTCTTTGGGTTCCTGCCTGTGTTCATATCTTCTGTCCTGGTTGTTTGTCCAGGAATGCAGGGTTGGAGGTGGACGTAGGCGAGCGCAGAGTGATCTCCAGCGTGGCCCTGGAAGCCGAGGACTTGGACTCGACACCAAACCGAGTGTACTACTTCGTCAACGCTGTCCCGCGAGTCGGAAAACTCCAGCTGAAGGTGAGGAGACTTGGTCAAGTTTGTTAACTGGTTAAAGGTGCAGTCTGTAGTACTGGTCAGGATCTGAGTCTCCAGTCTGTGACTGGTCCACAGACACCGTCAGGCTGGGTGGAGTTGTCCTCCGGTCAGAACTTCACCCAGGAGGACGTGGAGATGAACCGACTGTGGTACCAACATTCCACCACCGCTCATCATGACCCTGTCGGCTTCAAAGGTCACGACAGCTTCAGGTTCACGCTGACTGACCTGGACAACGAGTCTCCGGCTCAGAGCTTCTTCATCTCTGTTCGAACGTTTCCAAAAGGTCAGAGGTCAGACTTGTTGAATAAAGATGATTCGTGTAACTTGTGTTCACGCCCCTCTCGACCAACTGGATAAAAGACGAGTCCGTCCTGACTTGAACAACGTGGGTTTAAACAACGACAACAACGTTTAACTCTCACACCAACAGACGTCCCCACAGTCACACCCCTCTGTCCTCTGTGGTCCCAGTGGCCGTCCACAGGTCATATATTATTGAGACCCCCCCTCCCTCACCCTCTTCCACTTGGCTGTGCCAGCTTTGCCAGTCGGGTGAACACAGCGCCGTGAGGCCGCGGCCCTTCTGGCTCCGCGCCCTCTGATCCTGGAGGAGCAGAGGTGAGAAACGTTCGACCTCCTCAGCTGCTGAATAATTAACGGAGGGGAGCAGCAGCAGCTGTGGGGGGACGTCAGCTGACCTCCTGTGGGTGCTGCTCCCTCCTCCGCCCCCTCCCACAGCGTTTCTTCTAGAGCTTTGAATCATCACTGTGTGAGTTGATGAGACTTTAATGTTGTTATTGTCAAAATAACAACCTTCAAAGGAAGCGGCCTCACAGCAGTGGTTCTCAAAGTGGGGGGCGGGCCACCACACGGGACAAAGAAAATTCATTTACAATCATTCACATATTTGTGTTTAGTGGTAAATTGACACTGGTCGGTCACTTCAGAGTGCTGGTCCGATGACAGTGTTTTTATACCTGTTTCTCATCTTCCGTCCACCAGGGGACATCGTTCTCCAGACTAGGACAGTGAATCTGATGGAGGGTCAGCGTGTCGTCCTCAACACCAACATCCTACTGGCGTCAGACGCAGCAGGTCGTCCAGAGGAACTGCTTTACACCGTGTCCATCCCGCCGCGGTACGGTCTGGTCCACGCGGTGCGTAAACCTGGAGTCCCGCTGAGCAGCTTCACGCAGCTCGATGTCGCCGCACACCAAGTGTGTTACAGCCACGACAACAGCCATGAAGCAGAGTCAGACTCCTTAAGGTGAGAACTAACTCACTCCGTTCACCACCAGGGTACTAGTTCGACTAACGTGGACAGTGGTCCAGTTTGGTTTAGACCAGTGGACCAGTAATGATGAAAGACTAGAACCTGATCAACTCTAGGACTAGTTCAACCAGAACCAGCTGTTGCTCACGGACCACAGTCTGATCCCAGGTTCTTCTCAGACCGTCCTGTAGACCTGGAGGGTATTAAACCCTGTTGACATGTGAGTCCCTACAGCCAATCAGCATGGCCCACCGTGACAAACAGCATAATCCTTGTTGATGTAGCAGTATTAGTGTGTATTGGAGTATTTTTAATTCATTTTTTGGTCTAATTTTTTTAAATTATATTTTTTTAAAAAGCTCCTTGTCACCAACACTTCCTGTTTCTGACCAGCAGCTGTGCTGCCTGACTGTGACCTCCTCTGTCCGTTCTGATGCCCAGAGCGGGGGCATCAATGGAACATTAACTGCCTACATAAACTGTGAGAAAAGGACGTTTGTGTCGTCGATACATTATGAGACAAAAATATTTCACACAGACAAAACATTTGGCCCGTGACAGAAAACTGGGCACAGAGACCGACAGGGGGTGTCAGGGGGCTCTCCTCTGCTGCACAGTGTTTATCTGCTTTTCCAGCCAATTTGGCATAAACATGGCTTTAGTGCAGAGAGGGAGGTGGGGAGGATGAGAGGGAGGGAGGGACGGGGGGGACAAACCTGGAGCCCGCACAGACACCAGACTTGTCACCCTGATCCTGGAGGAGCAGAGGTGAGAAACGTTCGACCTCCTCAGCTGCTGAATAATTAACGGAGGGGAGCAGCAGCAGCTGTGGGGGGACGTCAGCTGACCTCCTGTGGGTGCTGCTCCCTCCTCCGCCCCCTCCCACAGCGTTTCTTCTAGAGCTTTGAATCATCACTGTGTGAGTTGATGAGACTTTAATGTTGTTATTGTCAAAATAACAACCTTCAAAGGAAGCGGCCTCACAGCAGTGGTTCTCAAAGTGGGGGGCGGGCCACCACACGGGACAAAGAAAATTCATTTACAATCATTCACATATTTGTGTTTAGTGGTAAATTGACACTGGTCGGTCACTTCAGAGTGCTGGTCCGATGACAGTGTTTTTATACCTGTTTCTCATCTTCCGTCCACCAGGGGACATCGTTCTCCAGACTAGGACAGTGAATCTGATGGAGGGTCAGCGTGTCGTCCTCAACACCAACATCCTACTGGCGTCAGACGCAGCAGGTCGTCCAGAGGAACTGCTTTACACCGTGTCCATCCCGCCGCGGTACGGTCTGGTCCACGCGGTGCGTAAACCTGGAGTCCCGCTGAGCAGCTTCACGCAGCTCGATGTCGCCGCACACCAAGTGTGTTACAGCCACGACAACAGCCATGAAGCAGAGTCAGACTCCTTAAGGTGAGAACTAACTCACTCCGTTCACCACCAGGGTACTAGTTCGACTAACGTGGACAGTGGTCCAGTTTGGTTTAGACCAGTGGACCAGTAATGATGAAAGACTAGAACCTGATCAACTCTAGGACTAGTTCAACCAGAACCAGCTGTTGCTCACGGACCACAGTCTGATCCCAGGTTCTTCTCAGACCGTCCTGTAGACCTGGAGGGTATTAAACCCTGTTGACATGTGAGTCCCTACAGCCAATCAGCATGGCCCACCGTGACAAACAGCATAATCCTTGTTGATGTAGCAGTATTAGTGTGTATTGGAGTATTTTTAATTCATTTTTTGGTCTAATTTTTTTAAATTATATTTTTTTAAAAAGCTCCTTGTCACCAACACTTCCTGTTTCTGACCAGCAGCTGTGCTGCCTGACTGTGACCTCCTCTGTCCGTTCTGATGCCCAGAGCGGGGGCATCAATGGAACATTAACTGCCTACATAAACTGTGAGAAAAGGACGTTTGTGTCGTCGATACATTATGAGACAAAAATATTTCACACAGACAAAACATTTGGCCCGTGACAGAAAACTGGGCACAGAGACCGACAGGGGGTGTCAGGGGGCTCTCCTCTGCTGCACAGTGTTTATCTGCTTTTCCAGCCAATTTGGCATAAACATGGCTTTAGTGCAGAGAGGGAGGTGGGGAGGATGAGAGGGAGGGAGGGACGGGGGTGACAAACCTGGAGCCTGCACAGACACCAGCTTTGTCACCCAGGCCCCTGATGACCCAGCTGGGACTGGCTGTTTGGCTCTGGACACCCCAGGTCCAGTCACTGCCAGAAGACAGGGGTGAGGGGACGGAGGTGAAGAGACAGGGTGAGGGGACAGGGGTGAGGGGACAGGGGTGAGGGGACAGACTGATGGACAGATAATTCGTCCTCATTTATTTTCCTCTACCTACATTAACAGGTTTGTCTGTTTCCAACATCACTTCACACACATTTCCCTAGTGGTTTCTACTGGTATTACATCCACTGGATGGAACCAATAACCCTGTTAACACATACTTACACACACACACACACACACGAGGGAACGATAATCAGTTCCTGGACTTGGTGATTTATATTTCAGGTTTTATTTTCAACCAGTTAAACATTAAACAAATTTACGACAGTAATGTGTGGATTTTCAGTAAAACAACACTAAAATTACACGCGACTGGTAATTGGTCATTACTAAATCGTCTGATACTGAACACACACATCTGATCATGGTGACAGTCTATGATGACTGGACATCAGCCTTACAGCAGTGAGATGATGTCTGTCCCAACACCGTCCACTGACGGACGTCCGTCCCTGGACAAACATGGCCGACGCTGAAGCCAGATGTTACACCAAAACCTGCCTGTGTGTGTGTGTGTGTGTGTGTCCTGGGTAAGGTTGTCAGCTGCAGTAGGGCTGGGAGGCAGATTGTGTTGGCAAAGATGTGGACAAAGTACACACATGAAGAAACACACACACACACACACACACACACACATATTATCAGTGATTGATGACTTCAGCTGCTCATTTACTTTTTAGTATTTAAGATGTAACGACCTGGAGTATCAGGTGGAGTACTGTTACAGTTTTAGAAGAAAAACTCACTCAAATATACTGCAGTATTATTTGACTGCATCTGTGTACTGTCACTTTAAAGGCACAGTATGTAGGATTTAGGGACATCTAGTGTCTTCAGTTGTTTTTACAATAACGACACCACCCGACCACCAGGGGGTGCTGGTGGTCCTAGTGTGTCTGATGTCCACAAAAAGTCCGAACGGTATCCAATAAAATATGAATATAAACATTCAGTGACTTTAAAGTGTGTGTGGAGAGGTGGGAGGGATGGGGGGGTCAGTCCGGCTCAGCTCTAGTCCCGGTCCAGGTTTTATCAGATATTAAAGGGATGTTTCATTATTTTTCTTTCTCAACAGTTTTGTTGTGACTAACGGTGTCTCGTCCCGGAGTGGAACCCTCCACTTCACTGTCGAGCACAGCGATCGCATCCCACCAACCCTGAACCACAACACCGGCCTCCGCCTGCAGGACGGCGCCACTGAGGTCATCGGCCCCGACCGACTGGAGCTCACTGACCCCGACACCGCCATCACCAACCTGAGCTACAGCGTCACTGAGCCACCGCGCTATGGCAAACTGCTGCTCAGAGGAGTTCCACTTCAGCCTCCATGGAGGTTCAACCAGGGGGATGTGGACCAGCTGAAACTGGCCTACCAACATGACTCGGACAGCCCAGCTGAGATCGACAGGTTCTACTTCCTGCCAACTGATGGAACCAACCGGGGATACCTGGAGTTCGGTCAGCTAAGAGAAGAACCGGCCGTGTTCAATATTCAGGTGATGCACAGAACACACACTGACTGATACTGGTACTTCCTGGTACTCCCTGATACTCACTGATAGTCACAGTTAAAAATAAACTTGACAAACATAATAAGGTACTCATACATACTTCATTACTGTGTGTAGCGTACTACCAAGTACAAAGATAAAGCTCTCAAAAATGGGAGAGAACCTTATGTTTATCAACCAAACCATAACTCCAACTATTTGGTATTACAGTTGTACAGCATCAAATACTGTTGCTGTCCTACAAGAGGACACAGTGCAGTTCTTTCAAAGGTCTCTCGGCCTCTATGCTGCTCCCAGTGGCCACAAACCAAAACAGTTTTTTTAAAGAGCTGTGTCTTACTGCACCATCAGGTGGAGCAGTTCTGCCCACCAGGATTTATTTTCTTAAATTCATGTATAAATGTCCTAAAAATCACGGCCGGGGAATATTGGTGAGAACAAACGGTTCTAGAAACTGTTCCGGACATGGAGGGACTTCATCCCAGGCAGAGTCCGTTGTTACTAAATGGAGACCACGTGATCAGAGCAGCACTTATGCACAGAGTCTCTCTGTAAACCATGGACCTGTGCGAGAGCCGTTGTTGTTAATCATATGACAACAGCGACATCCAGTGGTAGAAAGTTTGAACTGCATTTTCATTAAAACAACAAGGATTTTTGGTAGTTGTTCGTTACCACACAGCCTAACCTGGACCATAACATACACCTAATCCTAATCTGACCCTAATTCTAATCCTAACTCAGTGGAGACCTGAAGAATGTCCCCACAACAATAATGTTACAAAACACACACACACTTGTAGCGAATGGTGTGCTGCTGTGTTCAGGTGGATCAGGTGGACAGGACACCCCCCAGTCTGACCACAAGGAGGAGCCCCAGCACTGTGGTGGATCTGGGTGGAGGTCGTTACGGCATCTTCATCACCAACAAACACCTGCAGGCCTCGGACCCTGACAGTCCCACGGAGGAGCTGGACTTCTCCATCAGCAGACCTCCGTACTTTGGACACCTGGAGAACACAGTGACAGGTGGAGGAGTCTCTCCTCCTCCACACTCCTACAGAGATACAGGTCAGTGCTCCATCAAACTGAACTGACTCCTGTGTCACCTCCTTCCCACCAGGGGGCTACATCAGGGGACGCTTCACCCAGCGGGACGTGGACCAGCGTGCGGTGGTGTTTGTTCTTCCGGCCGACATGGAGGTGACGGCCGACAGCTTTGAGTTCCTGCTCACGGACCCAGCTGGAAACACCATGCTGCCACAAGTGTAGGGACTGACATTTTCTTCTTAATGAAAATGGGATTTGATCAGACCAGTGTGGACTTGACCCAGTTATCCTTCTGTGTGACTTGGTTCAGTCTGGAGCTGACCTGGTCTCGGGTGGAGTTGTCAGCGACCTGCTACAGAACCTGTGAGACTGCCGGGACCCTTCAGATCCAGATCCAACGCAGCGGCCGGAGCGAGGACCCGGCCTACGTCGCTATTCAGGTACCACTGTGACAACTGCACATCCTTCAGACTGGGACTTCCTGTTTGTGTAGTCGGACTACAGTCGTGGTCTTGGTCTGTGCAGGTGGAGGAGGGATCAGCCAAACCTGGCAGAGACTTCACTCACAGCACAGCCGGACTGATCCAGTTTGACCCAGGTCTGTGTCTGCCCTCTGGCCTCTGTTTCACTCCCTCCAGGTCGGCAGCCTCTCCATGCCTTGTTCTCTGTTTTGTTCCAGGCGTCAGTGTGAAAACCTGGAACGTTTACCTGACAGATGATGGACTGGAGGAGAACCACGAGACCTTCACTGTCATCCTCAAAAATCCTAAAAACGCCGTCCTGGGACAGAGGACGTCCGCCAGTGTGGAGATCATCGACCCCAGAGGAGGTGAGGAGTCCCAAGTGATCTGTGGAGCTGTTCACCTCCAACACTACACCACATCTTCACCGACTCTCAAAAAAAAAGTCTTTCATTCCCCCGGTTGTGTCCTGTCCATCGTCCGTTCCAGGAATGTGTGACCCTGAGGAGCTGCTGGAGGAGGGTGACAAGCACCTCCCTCCTCCTCCTTTAGTGGAGGTGGAAGAGGACCCTGTCACCGACATTGAGGCCGAGCTGCTGTGGGAGAGCCAGCCTCACCCTCCCAGAGGGGACGTCCCCAGCAGGCGTGTCTCCCTGGACTACGTTGAGGAAGAACCTCAGGACCAGGCAGCTCCCAGTTACAGCCACACCCACCACCACAGGGGGAGGCAGCAGCTGGGGATGAACCCTGGGGGCGGGGGACACAGAGTCAGACATGAAGGACTGAAGGTCACTTTATTTACTGATTGTTTTTTATTGACCAGTCTGGGCCACATGGTGTCAGTGTTGCCTTGCAGTAAGGATGTTGGTTCAATTCCCAGCTCTAATCTTACTGTATGGAGATTTCCTGGTCTCCCTGTGTCTCTCTATGAGTCACAGAGCAGTCCAGGGTATAACACTGCCCTCATCTGGTGACTACTGGGATTGACTCTAGCTCACTGAACTGAACTAAAGAACTGGGCAATACAAAAGTATTATTATTATTATTATTATTGATCTTTCCTTTCAACTTTATGACCTTCATCCACTAAGACAGATCTAAAAACCTGTTTTAACGCATTCGGTTTCTGACAACACTGACACCAACACATAAACAGTCCGAATACTGATTTATTTAAAATACTGTTTATTTATAACTTTTATTTTAAGCACTTCCAATCAACTAACCAGCACAAAACTTTTAACTGTACTCCCGCGCTGCTACAATGCCATTTATAACCAGAAGATGACAGTGTTTCACACAGTCATTTTGCAACCTGTTGGCTTTCTACGTCATTTCCATGTGAATTTGTTTTTCTCTTTGGCTGAAGTTAGACTTCCAGTCACCCCAAGTCCACTTCAGAGCCCAGACCCAATCGTTTTTGTTTAATTCATGTTTTACTGTAAAGCTGACTAACGTCTGTCCTCCTTGTCCAGGTGTATGTACCAGCACAGAGACAGTCAGAAGACAAAGTCTGGACGGTAAAAAAAAAAAATCTTTACTTTTTCCACACTCTATGGACAAACACAAACGTGACTCAGTGAATTCCTGTGTTTTTGGCCTCTGTTAGTTTCACAGTCTGACTCCTCTACGACTGGAGGAGCTGGAGGCTGGTGATGGTGGGTGGAGCTGGTCCCACCACAGAGCTGGAGACCATCCTCAGATGGATCCTCCTGTAGGCAGCCTGGAGCTACAGCAGCACAAGGTACACACACACACACACCTTCACTGATGCACTTGTTTAAAAAAGAAGAAGAAAAACAAATTAATTCCTCTGACTTCTTATTAATCATATTTTCTCATATATTAAAGTCCAGTCTTTTGGCTTTTGCAGTAAATTGCAGTTCATATTGAAATACATATAAAATACTTTAAAGCCTTTAAGTCTCCATCTGTGAAGTTGGAAATATTTGCAAGAGTTTTTTAAAGTAACTGCAACTCTCAAAGTACAACAATTAAATGTGTTCATTTTACGATGATCACTCGTGCCCTGCAGAGGGCGTAAGCAGTATCCCAGCGGTCATTGGTTAGGGGCGTGGTTTACTGGATCACCATTCACACCTACGGTCAGTTTAGCGTGAACGTTAGCCTCCATTAATCTCTAGTCTGCGTGTTTCTGAACCTGGAGTTTCTGTTTCAAACGTCTGTCTGTCTGTCCCCGTCCCCACAGACAGGCCGGTCTGTCAGCAGCTCCTGTCCTGAAGGTTGGACCCACTACAGGAGACGATGTTACGTCCTCAGCCTGTCAGTGGCCAGCTGGGCCAGCGCCGAGAGAACCTGCTCACTGAAGTACTACTCTTCTCGTACTTTTTCTACTTCATATTTGTGTTCTTTGTTTTGTGGTTCACATCCTGAACTGGACCACCTGCTGTCTCAGGTATAACAGTAGTCTGACCAGTGTGCGGTCCAGAAAAGACATGTCCTGGCTGTGGAGGTTTGCAGAGAAGAAGCCATTTTGGATCGGTGAGTGTCTCCCACAGTGAGCGTCTCTCACAGTTCCATTGAAGTGACAACTTTTATAGCATTTATCCAACCAGAGTTGAACCCCCCACAGTAAAAACATATCTCCACTGCTGTGCCATCGACGCTCATTGAGGCTGAGCTTCAACAGGGTTTAATACACTCCACACCTACAGCAAGGTCTGAGAAGATACTGTGGTCAACAGGTCCCGTCTTATTTAGTTAGAATACATTGTCACACCATTTTATCTCTTGTTTTGTAGCTCCCCCTCAGTAATCTGGCGCCTCCTAGTGGAGGTCCCCGGCACCAGACTATCCATCTAACTCATGTCTTTGTTCCTCAGGTCTGTCTGGAGGCCACAGTGGCTGGATGTGGATTGATGGTCAGTCAGTGTCTTTCAATAGACTGAAGGTGGCGCCCCAGGGTCACAGTGGGCCTGTCCAAGGCTCTGATTGTGTGCTAGTTGAAAACCCAAGAAGCTGGATTTCCACCAGCTGCTCTGGCCAAACTGAGCATAAATTCATCTGCTCGTCACAGGCTTAGTCTTTGAAACACCGCCAGTGTTTCACTGCTGCCAGCAGAGGCCGCTCTGTGACCCTCTGTCCCCTGTTGAAGTCATATTTAATGTCTGTGCTATGATGCTGCTCTGTACATGATTGATATATTTGTCATAATAAAGATAACTGCACAAATCTAGAATCAGTTCCTCAATCAGTTCTACAAGAACTTAGTCACAGATAAAAACAGGTGTGCAACACTGACCTCTACCTGCTGATATTTGTCTTTGTCTTTCAGAAATATACGGAAAAAAGGTGTCATATTTATGGATCTGATTTGTCTCACACCCTTGATCTGGACTTATGACCACATAAGTGTCTACAAACAGGATTTGGTTTTATAACACTTGCTAACACACAACAAGTCAACCTTTGGATATATAACGGCAACAAAACTCAGAGTTGAATAAAAGGAACCTCCCAGTGAGAAGGACACTCATCCATGAGGGGAAAAGAAAAAAAACATGTTTTTACCACAAAAACACCCAGCCCAGCTCTCATTCCTTCTACAGCATCTCTAACCAACTAAAGTTTGACACTGATGACCAGCACCTTTATAAAAGTTTAAAAAATAAACTTTTAGCCAGAGGGACAACTAAACCGAATCTTGTAACTAGTCCATCACTAATCTACAATAACTTGACAGAGAATACCAATTCGACAAACACTAGGACAGAAGACAAACATGTGAAAACATACTATTAGCATTTATTACACACTTAAATATGATCAACCCGTGGTCAAAAAAACATTTTGTCATGAATGTTAAATAGAACAAATTTATGTGAAATGAATTAAATTGTATTTTGAGGGTTGGTGGTAGGTTGAGGAGTCTTGTTGTTAGAAAAGGTTAAGGTTAGGGTGTTGGGAGTCGGGTTAAGGGCTGAGGTTAGGGATATAGTGCTGGTGTTTGGGTCGGAGATCAGGTGTAGGACAGGGAGAGGGTTAGGGTAGGGGGGTGTTGGGGTTAAGCAACAACTTTAGGGCTGGGGGAGGTATAGGCTAAGGGTCATGGCTAGGGCTAGTTTGAGGGTAACCCAGCCACACTATGGCGTGACTGGGTTTGGCAGTTCTGTCTATATTCCACCAGGAGCGTCACAGCAGCGGCGTGCAGCCTTGCGCGCCAGCTAAATTAGTGAGATATCATTAGACTCTGCGATAAATCCGAAAGAACGCGAGACCACAACAACCCGCGATAAGCATATTGTATAAATGAAACAACAACAAACAATAGTTTACTTTGCCTCTAACACGTGGAAGAGCACTACTGAAACAGTATCTTCAAGAACGAGTCTCTCCTGGTCCATGGTGAAACATGGTCAACACTGTTTCACTTCTAACCTGGTGTCACTGAAAATGAGACAAATATGTTTTACTCTGAAAGTCGGCAGAAGTTATTTGCTAAAACTGTGTAGTAGGTGTCACTGAAAATGAGACAAAGGTGTTTTACTCTGAAAGTCGGAAGAAGTTATTTGCTAAAACTGTGTAGTACCATGTTAGCTACAACAGTTCTGGTACAGACACCAGACCTAACATTGGCTGCAACAGCCCACAGGAGACATGACGATGGGCTTCGAAGCCCAGAAAGTCTTCCAATGTTGTAGAACGTTTTGACCCGTTGAGTTAACTTTAGTCCTTAACTTTTCTTAAGACTCTTGTCAGTGATGCTGCGTTGTACTTTCTTTCACATTAGGTTTCATACTGAATATCATAGGCAAGTGGTCCATCAATAGCAAAACCGAGGAAGAAGGAAACCTTTTCAGTGCTGAAGCCAGTTCTTATGCTGGCAATGTAAGCCGGACGCACAGGGATTTTCAATTTTCCATAATTGGCAAAAACCTCTCTCTGTTCAATGGTTCCACTGACTCGCTGAAGCTGGTCAATAATTGCTTTCTCTTTAAATATATCTCCATTGCGCCAAAGTTGTGCCAGGGCAGGTTGCTTTACGTTTTTAAAGTCCTTATCCAGTTGAGGTTTAGAGACCAGCCTTTTTAGTCCCTCCTCTTTACCTAAGAAGAGAAGTGCAACAGTACTTCTTCTAAACAACAGTGTTGGGTGCTTAAGAGATGACCTTCGAATTGCCCGCACATAACTGACGATGTCTGCGTTTTGCTGAGTAGGACTTGGCCAGAATAAGAGTAGAAACAGGTAGTATGGATCTGGGAAGGGATACCCTTGTCTGAGATCCTGCAGAGTTTTCGAGAGGAGACTGGTCAGGAAGTCGTAACTCTTGACGTATTTAGAGTTTGGTTTCAAGAGGTACAGAAGGATGAGTGACAAAATGTAATTAATTGTTTCCTTAGTCTTTTGTCCTGTGTTAATAAAGTGCTGCTGCTGCTGCAAGAACGCATAACATTCTGTGATTTTCTCAACTTCAGGCGGTCTGTCCAAATGCTGAAGAATCCCAGCGAAGGTGTCACACTGTCTCTCTACAAGGAACGTTCTTCGTTCTTCAATTTCAATCTTCACATTGAGATTGGCTTTGGTTTGTCGTTCCTTTTGTATTTCCACTTGTGTCGTGCAAAACAGATCGATGTATTTTGGGAAAAGATCACCAACGACCCAACGATTCTTGGAATCGTACCCTGAGTGATCCTGTTTTATATATGTGTAATAGTCATTTAGGAGGTCAAAGGTTTCCTTGACCTCAGTTTTTAAGTTGATGAGAAAATGCTCATGATCTCTGATGACCTCTGTGTACCTGTTGTTGACCTCATTGTCCTCTTTGTATACACTGGTAATAGGGATTGCTTTTATCAGAAAACTCTTTAAATACTTCTTCTTCATTGGATCGCTCGTCTCAAAGAAGGGTAATTTACCCAATACCTCCAATACCATAAAAGCCACTTCCAAAACACGAACATAGCCATAAACAGTATAAGACTTTTTGGGATAGTCGTCGGACTCGTCGTCCAGGGCTTTATCAACAGGTTCATCCTCTTTGTTTGCCAGGGTTTGAGCACATTTGAATGCTCTGATAGCCTTATCTGCGATTTTGAGGTTTTCATCTAAGTCTTCTGGGTTATGGGACATCTCATGTTTTTCTCTGTCCATGTTGGATTTTAAATTGCTCTTTTGGATTTGACCAATCGTGTCAAATGTGTATGGATTTTCTTTAATGTTTTTGGCCTTTTCAGCCCATGTCAAAGCCTCTGCATAGTCACTGTGTTTGAGGTACAAATACCTCGCCAGTGCCTGAGGAATAGATGCGCTTTTCTCAAAACGGGTGGAAGCTTTCACAAAAATCTCTTGGACCATTTGCCTCCCTTCATCTTGGTTTATTCTGTCAATGAGGGAAGAAAACGGTTCTCTCTCTGCTCTGTCATTTTTGCGTTTTTGTCTTTCTATTAACATTTTTTGAATGGAGAGCATGAACCTGTCTTTGACGACTCCATCTCTGAAGAATAGATCACAATGAAGCATCTCCATAGTAATATCACTCAGCTTTAAATGGCAAATTCTCTCCAACTCCTTCAGACTGGCAGATGCTATTGAGTGATGTAGAATCCTGAGTCCTTTGTACTCTCCCCAATCCTCCACTATTTCCGTAATTACAAAGTTTGAATATGGCTTCATTCTCTCAAAGACACTGTCCTCTTGCCAGTGGATCATTTTTAACCCCAAAAAGTCTTCGCACAGAGAGAGGGAGATTTCGGACTTTTCCACAAACGTGTTGATCAACGCTAAATAGGCAAAAAGTCGGGCTTCCTTTGTACTGAAGTTAAAGTTTTCAAGTGTGTCACGAACAATTTTAAAAATGTACTCGTTGTCAAAATTGTTCTTCATGATCATGAAGCTATAAAAGTTGTGGGGTTTTTCATGAGTCTCTTTGAGATCCTTCAGCTTTTTTTCAAACTCGTTCTGTTCGTCTAGTGTCAGTTTGTTTGTTAAAAACTGACTGTGTTTTACATTGCACTGGTACTGCTGTTTGGGACTGTGGGACCGAACACAGTTAAGAATGACAACCTTGCAGTTTGGTGCAGTTTTGTCAAAGCTCTCCTCTACAGCAGCGTTGTAGATGGAGGAAACAAGGGCGTAAGGACTCTCTGTCTCTTTGGAGTCGTCAAGTAACAGTAACACTGGAGTTAGCTTTGGACTTTCAAGCTTCATTAGTGTAATAACTTGTTCCACAGTGTCTGGGAGGTTTGCCTTTTCCAGTGCTTTGTCCTTCAGAACAGCGCATCTGAACTCTTTACGGAGATCCCACATGACATGCATGGCCAAGGTGGTACCTCCACATCCTGGATCATGGAAAAGGCTGAGCACAACACACACGTTGTTGGAGTCCTTCAACTGAGATCTTATCATTTTCTTCACCTGTTCGTACTTGTCCCGTTTGACAAATGGCTTCTCTGTGTCTTTATCACAAAAATAAAAGTTCCACCATTTGACTGTGCCACCTCTGTAGAAATCTTCTTCAACTTTGATGCGCAAGTCTTTAAACTCCTGGCCTTTTTCATCATATGTATTTTCACATTGATTCAGACACAAGATATCTAGAAAAGTCAGAGAATCTTCATCTTTCTGTTTCAGAACAACAGCGCTGGCGTCAGACGAAGGAAGGAGTTTTCCTGAGGACTGAACAAATGGTCCCAGTGACATTATGGTTCCACAGATCTCACTGAGACTCAGCTCATAAATGGAACGTGAATCAATGACTGATTCACATTTCCCATGTATGAGCTCCCTCCAGTTTTCAAATATTTTCTCGGATGCACATATGCTGATGATGCTTTCTTCTTCAGTGGTTTTCAAGAATGACTTGTAGGTGTCAAGAACTGGATCTTTCTCGTTGTTCACAGGTGAAAGAAGGAGGAATATGATGAGACTCCTGCCACGGAGAAGGACTTCAGGGTTGCAAATAAACAACACCAACTGTTCCACATCCTTACAAGACTTTCTGAGCCAGTTCTTGTAGTCTAACTCCTTGTTGTCACTGTCATCAAGGTCATGTCTACCATTACAGAAAACCCAGCTGGTCTGTTTGTAAAGGTTAAGGTTCTTAATCACTGACATGAGTGGTTCTTGATACTGTGACGGAGTATGGAGATTAGCAACCCTTGATTCCCTGTAGGAATGACAGAGCCCACCTGGAGCGGCAGAGTTGGGGTCAAAGTCAAGCACACAGAAAAGTTTGAGCTTCGTCAAAAACTGGAGATACTGCACTTGTTTTGGACTGGTTCTGTTTACGACGACAACAAATCTATCGTAGCAGTCAAGGGAGTTTCCACCACAAGTTAACAGGTTCTTTAGTTTGTAGCCTTGGTCTCCTTCTTTCTGTAAAACCTCCTTGGAAGAACGCTCCAGGTTCAGTTGACTCTCAGCTGAAATTCACAAAATAGTACATGTTGAAATCGGTCACGCAAAAAATAATATCAACATTTAAGGATGATTACATTTTCAAAAAAGTATCTAAAAATTAATTAAGTTGTTCATATAATCATTAATTTCCAAAGTCAAAAAAGTATTTAAAAATTAATTAAGTTGTTCATATAATGATGGGGTTTTACCAAGGGTTTTTCCAAAACGTGAGGCAAGATCCAGCTGATCGATTTCTTCTAGAACATCTTTAAAGATACATAAAGCCTCCTTGCTTCCATAGTGATCAGTCATTAGCTCAGCAACTCCTATTCTGTTTTTGTCATTCAGTTTTCCTTTTGGAATAGGTTTTTGATTGCTCTTCTTGTATGATTGCAACCTGAACTTAAACTTTTCGAAGTCACTGCTGATAAGGTGATCAAGGTGGTCCTGGATGATGTTCTTTGATATGAGCTGAGGTTCTGTCTGCAGGAACAAAACAAAACTGCAGTTTATCACTTTAGAAGAGGAAATTAGTAGATTCTCTTTGTTGACTAAAAAAGCTCAGAACAACACAAAAACCCTGGACCCTGTCCACACTAATGATTATTTATTTATCAATGGATTTACAAACCTACATTTTCTGACTGGGCTGTAAAATATTGCTTTGTATTTACTTCTTCAATACTTTGTAAACCATTTGCTTTAAAAACAAAATGTAAAATAAAATGTATTATTTTATTATTGATAGCATTATAATCTCTCAACTCACTCTTGTACTATACAAACTAATTCAGATTTTACCTCAACTCTCTCCTTTGGTCTTGCTCCTAAGGCCTGTGGCCTGGACATTTGCTCTTCCTGCTGCTCCTTCGCCTTGGATGAAAAGTTCTTACTTGACAGAGAACTCTTGTCAGGAACAGTATTTAGTTCTGGTTGGTTCATGGAGTCTGACTTTTTAGTTGCCAGATGTTGAGAGACATTGGGTTTAGGTGTAACAGAGACATCATTTAGGTCTTGCAGGTCTGTGTTGTCTTCAGGGTCTGGTTGTAGTACTGGCTCAGGTTTACTGTTCAAGTCTTTAAGTTCTTTCAGAATCTTTACACTTGGACCACCTTTTATTTCTAGAGCTTGTAAATCCTGTTTGCTGAAGCAAACGAGACAGTCTCCTGACACCTCCTCCGCTTTGAGTCGGTCTGCATATTTTCTGTAGACAATCACATGCTGCAGTAACCACTGACAGACCTGCTCTTTGGACCACTGGGCCACATATGCTGGAAACTGTGCTTGGTAGTTTGTCCCTTCTTTCAGACATCTGAGGTAGCGGGAGATTTTGACTGCAGGTCCATGCTTTATTCCTAGATCCAAAATATCTTCTTTTTCAAAGGAATATAAACAGTCTCCAGACACGTCCTCCTCAGAGAACCTGTCTGCACAGCTGAGCTGAACCTTGACCTCTCCAATCAACCATTGGTGGACATCTTCAGTGGTCCATTTTTTAATGTTTGGTGTTGATTGGCTCATTTTGACAAATTATGGCTGAAACACAAATAAATCGATTATTACATACATACACCTTCATCTGTAAATTAAGATTAAAGATGGCAAAAAGCAAAAAACAGTAAACCTTCCAGCAAAACAACAAACTTTGTTTCAATGAACTAATCTCATACCCAACTCTGAACAGGCTATGAATCACTCAGTCTACAGTGTATTTTATTTACAGCACCCTACAACACTGTTGCTGCACACAATTAAGACTTTTTGCAGAGAACGTGGAGTAGAGTACTAATTGTAAAAGCTCTTATTTCACCTAAAATATTTTACTTTGCACTGTGCAGTTTACAGTTGCATTTTCTGGTACTACCAATTACCTCAGGCCAACCATCTGTAGTGAAAGGCAGACGGTCTCAGATTTGTTTGAACAGTTTGACAGTTACCTAATGGACTGTAGAGATGAATAGAATAAATAAATCCTATTCAAGGTTGATATTGAGTAGTGTTTACCTGAAATTCATTCATTCTGTTATTGAAAAGTAACTCAGAATCACAGATATATATCAAAATTATTTATGCTCTGGAGTGAATCAAATTAATTGAAAATTGTCTTTCAATCAAAAATCAATTTTGAATGGAATCAATATCGAATCGAATTGTGGCATTTCCTGAATCGTGCACCACCTTGTTGTTATATATGTATATATATATGTATATATGTATATATATATGTATATATATATGTATATATATGTAAGTGATTTTGGAGAACCTGGGTTGAGAGCAATGAACGAGTTTAGAACCAGTTACTGCAATACAGTTTCAGTGCCAATAGAGGCACCTGACTGGTCTGTTGTTGTTGTCTGTTACATTTTTATTATACTTGCAAACGTCATTTTCCGAAACCCAGACATTGCATTATCAGATTTTCAATATCAGAGAAAAAAAAACAATAACAATTCTTACAGGTATTACATAATTATGCTAATATCAGGCCCATAGTATCTATAATATATACACATATTTGTATTTTCTATAAACTTCCAAGTCCACTCTCATGGAATGAAAGTCAACATCAACACGTAGTATCCTCTAGGCTATATGTACATAAAGCCTTTTCTCTCGTCTCCTTTTTAGGAGGAGTGCAAAAGGAAAATAACACTGGTAAAGTAATTTGGAAAGGGAAAAAACAGATAAAACATGTCGTAGTAACAGCTCTGGTGCGTCCCAGTTTCAGTTTTTAGATCCTGATTTGCATGTAAGGAGAAGCATATTGACTTGGGCTGGGTGAAGCCTCGTGGGGTCTCCTGGGGTGTAAGGCAGGGATGTTAACCACTTCACTATGGAACCACTAGCTAGATAAAGTTTAACAGTCATGTTTGTTGATGGGATGGTGTATGGTCATTATTTCTCACATCATAGGCTCTACTTCCTCCTGTCTCTAGCTGGAAGAGAAAGTGAAACTAAGTTTACCATAAACTTAGCAAAGAACAAATCAACGTGCTCACCTTATTCTCTGTCCACAGTTCAATGTGTTCATAGCACATGATCAGAAGTTACTGGAGAATCCACCCAGTTCTGGATCAGCCGGAAATGAGCCAGGCTGCAAGGAAAATATGTTCAACAGATAACAGGGTCGTAGGTCAAAGCTGCTCCGCTTATTCCGCACTTCCGTTATTTATGTCTGCTGAACTGAACAGTTCGTGCAGATAGAACGACTCACCTAAATTACTGCTAACTTCCTCCTACGGGTCTCTCTGTGGTCATGGTGAACGTGTGACTCTCAGTCTCTGTTATGGACGCAGGGCTGTTCGTTACAGATTTGTTTCAACACGCCACACCTACACTTACTGCAGAACCAAAAAAAAACACAACCAAAGCCACTCCCACCACAACGTCACAGCAGCATTCTGCCAGTTGGACTTCTGAGAGCAGAGGTGAAACAGTCATGTTTCATCAGCAGTGAGCTGCTGCTTTTATTTGATTTCAGTGGTGCGGTGGTGAAGTGGACTCTCCACAGGTCTCTACAGGAGTGCATTCTTTTTGTTATTAAACACATCAGTGACCATCACGTCCTGTTAGGGTCCATTCATGTAACGAGCGTAACCATGTATATGTACACTCAGACCAAAGATCAAACACACACACACACACACACACACACACACACACAGCTGTGACATTTCTGCATTTTAACCACAGCCCTGAGACAATGTGATGCATTCACTTCACTTGCAAAACAAAAACAAAAACTAACCATAAACCCACCCCTTCACAGTTAAAATGATAAGTTGATGAAGACGTTCTCACAGCCGGGTCCACAGTTCTCTCCTTGGTGCTGTTATGTTCTCTTCTCGTTACTGGGTCAACATTTTTCATCTTTTTTTTTTTTTTTTTTTACCAGGTTCTGACTTTCTTTCAAACTCGATGGTATGAAGGTCCAGGGCTGAAACTACCATAGAGTTTGGTCCATCCATCAGGTGATGATTGTAGTTTTTCAGCTCATCTCTGTGGGATAATATAAAATTAAATTATATAATGTACATTAATGATCACACTATTATGGAGGGATTTATTTATTGACTTAAAACAAACTTAGAAGGAAGGAGGATAAAGTTCCACGGCTGTTTTAAGATTGACGGTTCAATATCACATAATCTGTCTGAAAAACTATTAATTATTTACTACAAATAATAAGAGCCATTTCAGCTCTGCTCCTATTGACTCCACCTTGACTTTGTAAACATTTCCCAGTGGCAGTACCTAGGCTCCCTCTAGTGGTATTCAAGGGGATGTTATTGTTGTGCCAACGGTTTGTTCAAATTCGTACTAAAACTTTCACAGTGAGTTAACGACTGTTAGCCACGGCCACAGTCACTGTGGAGAAGGAAGAGGGGGAGATGGGGGAGGAGAGGGAGGAGTGTTCAGCACTTACCTAGCTGAGGATTTTGTGGTAAGGGTGAAGCGGGACCTCAGAGGTAAACGCTCTAATGTCACTGATGAGCTTGACTTCCTGGAGTAAGGGTGACGAGGCGGACAGGAAGCTCAGCTCGCTGACCTCGCTGTAGGCTGAAGAAAGGGGGTTGTCTGGGCTGTCCACGCTGCAGGCCTCGCTCTGATCCGGCTGGTCATTCTCCTCAACGCCAAAACCAACCACCTGACCAGAGACAGGGAAGAAACAGGTGACCAGCTGACACCAGAGATAGGGAGGTGCAGCAGGGTGGAGCAAGACCAAGGAGCAGGGTAATTTACATGAACAAAGAACAACTTATAAACCAATTCTGTAGGACACAGGAAATCAAATATTGGTATGATGTGGGAAGGGAAGATCAATGTCAATGATAGTACTGTACAGGAAGTACAGCCTGGGTTTAAGCCGATTATGTTTTACATGAAGGAACAGCAGTTTGTTTGTTTGTCTGTGTCCACAGACTGAAGGCAAACTGGACTGAAAAATGTCCAGAAATAAAAATGTCCTTGTCCTCGTCACAGGAACTCACGTGCACGCTCAGCTTCCTGCCGCTGCTGCCTCTGTGCTGCAGGAACCAGGAAACAAGCTCCTCCTGAGTGAAGAGCTTCAGAGCTTCAATCTGAAAGACAGACCCAAGTTCAGAAGCACAGACCAGAACCTTAGACCTCTGACCTCTGACCTGCAGTAACATCACCGTGTCCACATGCCAGGTTTGAACTTCACCTGAAGAAGTCTTTTCAGTTTACCTCAGCAAAACAGTAAATATTTAAAACACAAAAATCTGCACTGATGGTCACGTCGTTACATTAGGGTTGTAAGAAAATATAGATTGATTGAAATATCACGATATGCCATTTCCTGATACCGTATCAATCTCCTCCATCAGTGTACTGATTTTTTTATCACCAATTCTCAGTCAAATATTCCTGGTGTTGGTTCATTTTCTTTTTCTTTTCTTTCTCCTCCAGTGATTCCAAATGTAGATCCCTCTGTTCCAATGTTAGTAACCTGATGTTCAGATGGAACAGCAGCAGAGTCTTTACTATGATGACACTTGACTGCAGTTACATTGGGGGAAAAAACTCAATATATCGTCGTGTCTATTGTATGATAGTATATCACAATATATCGTATCATTGCCCTGTATCATGATACGCATCGTATCAACAGATTCTTGACAGTGTACACCCCTAGTTAATCTGTCTCTTTATCACATTGACTTAATAACTTATTGTGTTGTTGTGGTGTGTTGTTCTTTTTCATACCACATTTCTACCAGACCATTTCATGTGTATATATATATATATGTATGTATGAGTCCATGAGTATGAGTGGCTGTACATGTGTATAACAGAGGTTTATATAGAGTTTTTTATAAAGTCAGAGTCAGAGTCACTGTCGGTGAACTAAAGCTTGTCTTTGTCTCCTTCACCTCCTTGTTGAGCCGGTCGAAGATGTACTGCTGCGTCACCACCTCAAACCAGTTGCGTTCCACCTCCTCTCCCAGGTGGGCGTCCTCACACTCCTTCAGTTTCACCAGGGCAGTCACCTGGGTTTTAAAGGCGTCCTGGCTCAGAGCAGACAGACGCTCCCCAAAACTGAACAGGAACTCCTCAATCTTTGCCTCCACGAACTCTGTGCTGTTAGAAGAAGCAGCAGTTACTTCTCGACCAGCTGGAGTAGACTTCTGAAGATCCAAGAACCCAACCAGAAACACACGCCTCCTCCTCACCTGTACTTGGTTGCTTGTGTTTCCACTGTCACAGAGAAGCCCAGCACCCCTGAGGTGTTCCTGCAGGTCGGGTACACCTGGTACCTGGAGGTCACAGAGGCAGAGATGGACTTGGTTTTTAAATACAGTACGGATGTTGAACTATGTTGAACTCAGATGTTGTTGATCTGGCATCTGTAAACCCACCCTAGGGTCTCCTTTGTCCTCAGGAAGTCAAAGCAGGGCTCCTCCATGTGCATCTGTGGAGGAATGGAAGAAGTCAGGACAGATGATGAGCTAAGGTCACAGGACAAGTTGAGCAGCTAGCAGCTGTTAAACTACGCTCACCACCATCAGCTCCATCAGAGCGTGCTCTCTGAGGTTCTTCAGCCCTGACTGAGACACAGATCAGATAAACAGAACAGTTTTACATCATCGTCACCACGACCTCTGTTCCAGGAGTCAGAGATCAGTGTGAGGAGTGGGTTTTTCACCTGGTAGTAGACGGTGACCTCAGAGTTGGCGTCTCCTTTGTTCAGAGACTTGACTTTACAGAGGTGACTGTTCTGAGGCAGCTCCACCACCTGAAACAGAACAGGGACCTCTGCAGACAGAGGCTGGAACTGCAGCTTCCTGCAGAGACGCAGTGATAATGACAATGTCCTCATCACATGACTGCTGTATTAAGACTGTACTCTGTATAATACCTTCATGTTAAAATGCACAGAAGGATTCTGTCACAGCTTCAGAAAGATACTCACTCAACAAAGTACTGCAGGAACTCCTTTGACTCCTGTTGGAGGAAACACACTTTCATGAGGTAACAATGAAAACAACAAACCTTTACTGGTGCAGAAACATTTTCAACATGGTATTATTATGTAAATATTAGCAGTATTACAGTGAATGTTTGTCTTCGTGTGTTTCTCACCTCGCTGGTGAAGTTTCCCTGCACCAGCCCCTCAGTGTACAGCTCCGCCTTAAACCCGCTGACAAACGCCATGAGGTCATCCACGGTCAGTCCCTTCATGACGGCCTGGTACTTCTGAATGACAGACCAACGACAGTGTTCCAGGATCAGCAGGCGGATGTCCCTACAGAGGGGAAGGATGAGTGGAAGTGTGAAAGGTAAAAGGGATGCAGTAAAAGGTGGAGTACCACCAGGAATCGTGGGGTCGGTGGGGGCAGTGTAGCTCACTACGATCAGAAAGGAACAGAGAAGAAGACAACAGACATGGCAGAACTGTTTGAAGAGAGGCTGTGAAGATGTGTTCACAACTACCAGACCATCTACGACGTTAGGTCCAAAGGCAGCAAGGAGGATGGAGCACTGCCCCCCAGTGGGTGTATCATTTATAAGTAGTGACTGCATAAACCAGTGGTACACCTTAAGTACTGGTGTTTCACTAGTTCAACCATGTACCATAGTTTCCTTCTTCTTATGGTCATCAGGGTGACCTGATTTTAATACCTTTGATCTGTGGATCAAAGCCAGAAAAAAAGCTTACACCAAAGAAGGTTACATGTTTTTGGACCAAGACACTGGAGGTATGTTTGCATCAGAAGCTGTAGAGGTAAACTGAAATCAGAGGCTAAGATGAAACGCTGTAGATGTGAACATGCTAATGAAACACTGAAGACATTACTGTTGGACCAGAACTAGACCAGAACTAGACCAGGATCTGTGGTTGAAATTTAAAATTTGAGAGTTACTGCAAAAACCAGCGATGTCCAACCCACCAAAGAAACAAATGAAGAAAAACGTCTACCCCAACAAGCACACACGGAAAACAAGCAGTAAAGTCTCCTGCAGCATTGTTTCCAGGACCAAATCCAGCACCACTGGCAGGAGGAGCCAGCTGAGGAAGTTTAAGGATGAACATGAAGGGAGAATCTGTGTGCGTTACAAATGTGGCCCGATCAAGACCATGCAGTACGTCCTCGGTCAAAGACCAGGCTGGGTGGAGGTCAAAGACGAAGATGGGGAGTGGGACTTTAACTGGTGCGATCTGAGCTGGTTCAGGGAGAACTACTTCTCCTACATGGACGAACATGTGAGGATCAACCATTTTCGCAACTGTTACGAACTGACACGAAAAAACTTCATGGTGAAAAACCTGAAACGCTACAGGAAGAGCATCGAGAGGGACAGCAGCCACGTCCAGGAAATCAAATGTGATTTCTTCCCCTGCACCTTCGAGCTGCCCAGTGAGTACCACCTGTTTGTGGAGGAGTTCAAACGGTGTTCCGGCAGCACCTGGATCATGAAGCCTGTAGCAAAGTCCCAGGGAAAGGGAATTTTCCTGTTCAGGAAACTGAAAGACATCACAGACTGGAAGAAGGACAGCAGTCGAACAGAGGAACAGCGGGACGGAGCGCAGGTCGAGAGCTACGTGGTTCAACGCTACATAGAGAACCCTTATCTAATCAACGGAAAGAAATTTGATCTGAGGGTTTACGTTCTGGTCACGTCGTTTGCTCCTTTAAAGGCG